AAATGTCATGTGTAGCCTTTAAGTTGCTACACTATATAGGCTAACTGATAAAATCGTCAGGGCAGCGCTGACAACACCTTTTTGTGCAAACTGCGTGACCGTAGTGTGCTTGTGCGAGCACGTGTGATTGCAGTAATTCCTGTGTGCGGTATAGGTACTGTATGCTAATTTCCGTTATTACCGTTAACTATGCGAAGTGATATGGAACTGTAATGCGGTCAAGAGAGCTGCCTGGAACTACGTTCGCCGTGCGTTGCCCTGAAAATTGTTGCACGCCTCAGAACGTTCGTCAGCCAATAAGATTCAAGCATTCAACGGCCCCGTAGTATAATTTTATTTATTTATTTATAGTTTGTTTGTTTGTAACGAACTGCTGCTTTAGTCTAAGTGCAGCACCTCCAAAACAGTAGCATTTGACACCGAGGTTAATGAGAGGCACACTATACAGTTCACCTACGCTTGAATTAACCTGTAAGGATGGATCAAAGAATGGTGGTTGAAAGAAAGAGTTTGTTTTGTGGTTCTGGTTCTTGTCTGATCTCAGTATAGGAGCTTTGAAAGGCATGAATGTGAGCTCAGGTCATGTATCAGTAGATCAAATGAAAGGCGAGAGTCTGTGTGCGTTTGGAAGATTAGTGGAACAGACAGAGAAAACAGAAACGGTGTGTGCGTCTGCGTACTTTTTCTTCAACTCTTCGCACTGTCTCTGTTCTTGTTGGCCATTTAGACTCAATATATTACATGTATGTGATAAAATGGCTCTATACAAACACCTTGTCTTTTTTTCTTTTGGGAAAATTGAGCGTAGCTGTTCACACTATTGTGAAACGTTTTTTATGAAACAATTTCTTTTCCGGCTTATGTACTTGTGGCTAATGAAATATCATGACCTTTAAATGGTATAGTGCCCGCTTGTGTGTATTTGATTCTTGTAGTGAGAGTAAATTAATCCATGGGTGTGTAAGAGAGAGAAATGCATGAATAGTGCGTTATCGTAAGAGGAGTGATGTCGCATCGGTTGTTGTTTAGGTCTGTGTCTGTGTTCAGAATATAATTGATAATGCACAGACAGCATTTACTTATTCATTTAATTATGCACAGTCAACCTTATCAGAAAATTAATGAATGAATGTTATTTATTTATAGATAGATAGATAGATAGATAGACATACAGACAGACAGACAGACAGACAGATAGATAGATAGATAGATAGATAGATAGATAAAAAAAGATAAGCCAACTTGATCGATAATAATTAATTGATTGATAAATTGAACGTCGAAATTATTTTATAATCTTATAATACATTATTTTAAATCTTCCGCTAAGGAGGGAAAAAACATCAGGATAGCAACAAAACAAACAGTGCCACAATATAATATTAAAGCTGAGTCTTGACCAACACTGACCAATCAGAACCCAGCATTCCAGAACGCTGTATAATAAATTAGCTACCTATATTTTTGTTTGTGGTATCGCTGCTTGCAGCTATATTTTAGTTTGTTTTGTATTGTTGAGGAGCTGTGTGTGTGTGTACAATACATTTCAAGTTATGTTTACCTCTGTGTCTGGTAAACTGGAATTTCTTGGGGTTTGTATTGTTGTGTACAGACACGTTAGTAGTGAGTTTATCATTAAAATGTGTGTTAATTAGATTGAACAGTTAAACGGCTAATTATCTAAATTCAAATGTCTGGTCTGGTTGTGGTTGGTTGCACCATGTATATGCACAAATTACCACACTGAATTTGCATTTGTGTTTGTTTGTCCCACAGGTGTTTGGAGGGCTAGTATGGATCCTAGTAGCGTCTACATATGTGACAACGCCAAACCCTCAAGGATGGGTGATGTTTGTATCAGTCTTCTGCTTTGTGATGACCTTCCTCTGGCTCATCATCTTCGCCTGCGGAGGACACAAAAACAGCAGCGCCTGGGCTACAGCGGTGAGCGGAGTAGACACCCCCCTAAAATAAATCAGATAGGCCTATAATATATAAAATATTTGACTAAAACTAAATGCCATTTTAGTCAAAAGACTACTACTAAAGCTAAATCAAAATTTGCTGTCAAAATTACCACTGATACATAATATATTATAATATGCCTATTGCCTATAATATAGGCTAATATATCAACTGTGAGATTATACGCCTCATCACGTGGTAGTAAATGTCTGGTGTGTGTAAGTGGGTAATATATACATATTTAATGGACTAGCTTTGATGATGTCTTCTGTGTACAGGACTTTATTTATCACCTGATTGCTGTTATATTCTATCTGAGCGCATCAGTGACCCTGGCCTTTGTGACTATCGGCATGAATACAATCAGTATAGCAGCACCATATGACAAGTACTATAAAATCGACATCGCAGCTGTGGTAAGCACAAAATACAGACTTGGTGTCTGTTGATACTGATTACTGAATTATTTTTTATGCTAATTTCTCCTATTTTTATATTTAGTTAGTTTTGCCATATTCTAATGCTCACTTAAAGTTAATTTTAAAAAGACTTAGATTTATAATATTCTTAAGCAAATCTAAAAATGATTTTTGAACATTTTGAAAGCCGTTTGAAGTTCAAATGTTTGGCTGAATTTTTACCCTCTCTCCCTCAGGTGTTCTCGTATGTTGCCACATTGCTTTACTTCATCCATTGCATCCTTTCTGCTGTGCGGTGGAAATCCTTCTAATCAAATAATCTCAGCAAAAGGAAATCAGTTTGACACAAATTCTTTAATAAACTGAAAATAAACACTGGAAAACCACTGGGGCTGAAAGATGAAATCTCAGGGGTCAGTCCTTAGTGCCCTCTACACAGAAACACAAACCACAGCAATCATGATGGAATAAACCTGCTTATTCTTTTCATATTAGATTATTCTAACCTCATTACTTTTCTAATGATGATGCATTCTTATATTTGGGGGAAGGGAAACTTTTTTGAAATGCTATCTGTACTAGTACAATGACACCTGTGGATAAAGAAACAATGTGGGTTTTGTATACTTCTTGTACCTTTGTAACAGATAAATACATTTTTGTATATTTAGCTAATACGCACTATGAACAACATAATATTTTAATAAAAGAATATGAACTGGACAGAATTCCCTGTGTAAGTAATTCCTGAGTCCTGAGTTATGTATGGGCTGTATAAATATGACTACATAAATATGCTACATATGACTACATGCATTTTCAAACAGGCAAATAAACACATTTAAAATAAATGCTCACACAGAGCACTGGTGGTGGATGAGGAGATACCCCCTGACAATGTAAAGCGCTTTGAGTGCCTAGAAAAGCGCTATATAAATGTAATGAATTATTATTATTATTATTCTCTAAAATGCATCATACCTACTACACAACTTTTTTTTTTAAATGTATCAGCTAACTAAATTATAAATCTGTGTGCACGAAAGAGTTACATATAAAACACTGATATACTAGGCTGTATAAAGTGTCGTTCATACAATGAGTTTTTCCATTCCACTGTGCTGCTTTCCCATTGTTTTTCTATTAAACATGAGCTAGATTGACATGTTTGACCACTATGCTTGTGACAATGCAGCTTTTCATCAACTTTTAAAAAACCCATCTCTAGACTTGCATTTTATCATTGCCGTAATCCAGTCATTACAACAGGAAACCATGCTATTTTTTGTGAGGGTGAAAGTGTTTGCCACAGATTTTGCTCATGTTCAAGTTTGTCACGTGAATTTGCCACACTGACCAAAAGAAAACTGCAGGGTTTGAAAGTGATCTCTGTGTGAGCTGTGCTTCATACATCGCTACACAAATGATAATAAACAGCAAACCCTTTTGGTCCCAACATCTCGCTGAAATTACACTACTGTGACCGCAACTTTACTCAAAACATGAGCAAGATTAATGAGTTGACACTGAAAGTGGGTTTATTGTAGATTTATTGGTGCGCTTCCAGTTATAAGTCATGTGTAGGTACGTGAGAACAAAGTCTTCAAACATTCACTTCCATGCTAATCTTTCATGGGCTCATGACATATAAACACTAATTTGTGGGGGCATATAGCACTTCAGGACCTTTAGTTTAACAACATGGTTGCAATCCAAGCACGTGCTTCAAATGCTCTCCCCAGAAACGGTTCTGCACTAGACAGTCAGCCTGCAGTACGGATTGGCTGGACATTATCATTCAGATCACCAGATGGTCCTTTTAACCCCTGCCCACACTGATCTCTTAACACCTTGTGAGGCCTTCACGTCAGCCCAGTGCAGACGTGTGTTGGGCACATCGTCCTCTACTTCAGGTTCCTTACGGGCACCGAGCTGCGGTCGTGCCACCACGATGGGCAGAACGCCTTGTTCTGCCCTGAACTCCACCACATTCAGCTGCTTTATATCAGATAGTTTCTGATGAGTCTCCTGTAGTAGGACCGGGGAGAGGAAGTCAGTTATAAACCTGAAAAATACACTGACACACAGTTTAGAGCAGGGGCTGGGCAACTTCGGTCCTGGAGTGCCACTGTCCTGCAGAGTTTAGCTTCAACCCTAATTAAACACACCTGCCAGTAGTGTTCTAGTGATCTTGAAGACATTGATTAGCTTGTTCAGGTGTTTTTGATTAGGGTTGCAGCCCTGGTTTAGAGGGTCCTTAGTTTACTGTGACCATACATACTTAAAGGAATAGTTCACCCAAAAACGAAAATTGACTCTCCCTCAGGCCATCCAAGATGTAGATGAGTTTGTTGGGAACAGATTTTGAGAAATTTAAAGGGGTCATATGATGCTGCTAAAAAGAATATTATTTTGTGTATTTGGTGTAATGAAATGTGTTTATGCGGTTTAAGGTTCAAAAAACACATTATTTTCCACATACTGTACATTATTGTTTCTCCTCTATGCCCCGCCTTTCTGAAACGCGTTGATTTTTACAAAGCTCATCGGTCTGAAAAAGCGAGGTGTGCTGTGATTGGCCAGCTATCCAGAGCGTTGTGATTGGCCGAATTCCTCTAGGGCGTGACAGAAATGTTACGCCCTTATTGTGCCTGCGGCAACCACATGTGACGACCCCGGGCTGGACTCCGCTTCGTCCACGGGGAAAGCCGATCCGGCGATCCACAGCACTAAGTTGAAGTATTTCCTCAGCGACCAGCACGGATCAGCTCCAGGCATGACGAAGTGATATCGTCCTATTATGGAAGGCCAAACAAAGTAGTTTCGCTTTCACAACGAAGCACACAGCGCCTTCACGACATGGCGGCGGCAACAACAATACTACAGCGAGAATAAAAGTTACGCCTTCTTTCTTTGCGTGAACATTTGGGCGGCGTTATGCAAATCTTCCCAGATAGTGACGTAGGTATGTGGGGGCGTGTTAGAACGAGCCGCTTTAGGTAGGCGTGGCTGACTCTTAACTTTTATAAAGAATATCTCTTTGGATTTGAGACTTCAGTCTTTGCAACTTTACAGATCTTCTTTATGCACCAAGAGCTTGTAACACTCCAAAGAGAAAGGAAACATTTAAATTGCATCATATGACTCCTTTAACATTACATCACTTGCTCACCAATGGATCCTCTGCAATGAATGTTGCCATCAGAATGAGAGTCCAAACAGCTGATAAAAACATCACAATAATCCACACGACTGATCTTTGCATATTTCTTTTTCGATTCAGACGAGCAATGGTTTGAAGCTAAAAACATCTTAATGGATTTATTACTAACATGCAGCTTTTTGCTTGATGTTGTTGTGTGGATTACTTGTGGATTATTATGATCTTTTTATCAGCTGCTTGGACTCGTTTTGAACCATTAGTTTTATTCATATGAACCGACTCCCTAAAATACATCAGACCTCTCAATGCTACTTTTGCAATTGATTAAAGTGTCAGCAATGTGTACAAAACAATGTTTTATATATAAAGTAGTGAAGTATTATATAAGGTGTACTATATAATTGGTGAGCAAGGGATGTAACACTACATTTCTCCAAATTGAATTGAATGTCTTTATTGTCATTGTACAAGTACAATGAAATCGAAATGCAAACCTTTGGGTGCATAATCTAACAAAATAAATAAATGTAATAAATATTAAACCGGTAACAGGATCAAAAACACCATTATAAACATAAGACATCTCACGTTCAACAGTCAGTTACACGACTCATATTCAACATTGCACATGATGTTCAGTTAAGTTATTGCAGTATTCGAAACAGATGGATTAAGCATAGAAACTGTTAATCTCACATTCGACAGAATTGCACAACTCATTAAACATTGTACATGATATTCATCTTAAATCTGTTCAGATGAAGAAACAAACTCATATACATCTTGGATGGCCTGAGGGTGAGTAAATTTTTATTTTTGGGTGAACTATCCCTTTAAAGTCCTAGTGAACAGTAGATTATTCTTTAGTGAGGCCAAAAAATGAGGACTCTGCAACTGGAATGATATGGATTTAGCTTTTACATTTGTTCCTTTATGAAGTTCCTGGATGTTTACTGGTCTTGGGACAACATTCTCAAGAATCATCAATCTGATTTTAGTATCAGTTAGGGATGAAGTAGGGGCTTGAACAACATTGTTATCTAGTACCCATAATATCCTTCTGACATTATAGGTAATAAATGGCTGGGGTTAGGGGTAGGGCAGGTACTTACAAGTATTTAAGCAAATAATGATCAAAGAAAGGGTTAAGACTTTTCATGTCATAGTTGTTGTTTGATTAATATTAACAACATATAAACATTAGTTAAGACTATGTTTGACAGAAATGTGGTTTTAGGACTAATGGAAGATGCTGATTCTGAAACACATTATACTTGGAAAAATCATGGTTACTATATCAAACAGGCCACTAAAACATGTACAAAGACTGATCTTATTGGCTATTGTACTGATGTAATCTCTCACCTGATTGGCCAGGCCGTGGAAGAGAGCCCTGGTGATGTTGAGGAGGTTAACTGAACCATCTACTTTTGCATACATATCCTCTATCCCAATCAGTTTACAGAGAGTGATTACCGCCCGATGACAACGCAGACCATAACCTGACAGAGAGAGAAAATAATATCAAATATAAGAGAGAGATTGTCTTTTATTTTATTTTTTTAAGTTTTGATTACAATATCTTATACTGTATGTTTTATAAATTTTTACTTTGTCATAATCATAAACTTACTTTCGTCAGTGGAACACAACACAACATATGTCCCATTCCCATTGACATGTATTTTTTGTCCAAGTCAATGGGAACCAAAACTGTTTCGTTACCAACATTTTTCAAAATATCATCTTTTGTACTTTTCTACTTACACATAAAGAAAGTCATACAGGTTTGGAATGACATGAGGGTGAGTAAATAAAAATGTAAAATGTAAAAAATGTTGAGTGAACTATCCCTTTAACAAATGATAATATATAAAAATGTGTTACAGATAAACAAAAAAAAAGTTTTGGAATTATGAGCAAACATTTGTCAATAATTATCATCACAATGCCTATTTTTCATATTGTTTCATGCTGAAATGCAAAAAAATCTCAGCGAATACTTTCATGGGTGAGATTAACAATGGAGAAAAGAAGGTAAAAGAATAGATGTCCAGGGTAAGTGTGATCGCATGGCTGTGTTCAAGAACAATATTAAACACACATTATTTACAACAATGTGAGTCTAAAGATAGGAAAGGTGGAAGATCATGGTTCCCAGAGTTTCAGGTCCAATCATAACTGCTCCTGCCAGGTTTCATTACTCAGGTTTCAGCGGTGAGTCGTGGACTCTGAGAAGTCACATCAGAGCTCAGAACTCAGAACTCAATTACCATCAGCCCCATCTCAAATCTGAACATCATGATTTCAGCTCTGATGTCAGGAATGAAATAAACCCATTGTGGCTCAATGGATGTGAAAGAAAATCTAATACTATATGTGGGAACTGTTCTGGATATCAGGAAGACATTTGCTTGACGGTTTGAAATGATGAAGAGTTTAATTGGCATTTCTGCACTTTGTCAACTTGCAGTAAGACTTCTGTTGATGTCAAAAGTTATGCATGTAGTCGCAAAATTAGAGACCTTCCCCCTCAAAATTCAATCTAAAGTGGGCACAGGGGAGGAGATATATACGCTACTACTAGATCTGAATAGCAAGTACACGGGTCGTAGATGATCTAGAGAAACATGAAACCGAGTTTTGGATCTGGGATATGGTACATGTACAGTATCTCACAGAAGTGAGTACACCCCTCACATTTTTGTAAATATTTTATTATATCGTTTCATGTGACACCACTGAAGAAATGACACTTTGCTACAATGTAAAGTAGTGAATGTACAGCTTGTCTAACAGTGTAAATTTTCTGTCCCCTCAAAATAACTCAACACACAGCCATTAATGTCTAAACCACTGGCCACAAAAGTGAGTACACCCCTAAGTGAAAATGTCCAAATTGGGCCCAAAGTGTCAATATTTTGGTGTCATGTGACTCATTAGTTTTACAAGGTCTCAGGTGTGAATGGTTATCAGGTGTGTAAAATTTGGTGTTATCGCTCTCACTCTCTCATACTGGTCACTGGAAGTTCAACATGGCACCTCATGGCAAAGAACTCTCTGAGGATCTGAAAAAAAGAATTGTTGCTCTACATGAAGATGGCGTAGGCTATAAGAAGATTGCCAAGACCCTGAAACTGAGCTGCAGCACGGTGGCCAAGACCATACAGCGGTTTAACAGGACAGGTTCCACTCAAACAGGCCTCGCCATGGTCGACCAAAGAAGTTGAGTGCACGTGCTCAGCGTCATATCCAGAGGTTGTGTTTGGGAAATAGACATATGAGTGCTGCCAGCATTGCTGCAGAGATTGAATTTTGAGGGGACAGCAAATTTACACTGTTATACAAGCTGTTTACATTGTAGCAAAGTGTCATTTCTTCAGTTGTCACATGAAAACATATAATAAAATATTTACAAAAATGTGAGGGGTGTACTCACTTCTGTGAGATACTGTATGTGCAAACACCCCCCTGCAAATTCTCATTTAAAACAAATCATATTGCAAAACATATATGACGAGCTCAGTAAAATACTGGGCTCACACCTCTATTATCAAGCAAACTGTGATTGTTTACATGCGTGTGTGAGGTCAGGCCACTTACCTTTGTTCTGTTTCTTCATTCTGAGTGTGGTCCTTTTAAACTTAGATTCAATGTCATGATATACTGCACATGAGGATAAAAAAATGATTAATTATAAAGATGAGAAATTAACAAAAAATACGAGGAGGCCGCAAACTCAGTGTCATAAAACACATATAAAACACTTAGATCCTTGCTGAATATAAGTATTTAAAAAAAATCTTACTGACTCCAAACTAGTGTATATAAATGCAATGTAATTTCAGTACATTACATGGGAAACAGGGCTGGGTGATAAAAAGAAAAAATATTTTAGTATATCAAGTTATTATATCTGAAATCAATTAAAAGCATTTTTTTGTAATCAGAGGAACCATCATTTCTTCGCATTATTGTAAATTTGATTAAAATGTTTAAAATAAAATACAGTAAAAGGTGAATAATAATATGAATAACATTGCTTAATTTTATATCGCCAGCAAAATCAATGTGAATATATTATGAAATGAAAAAATATCTCCAAGCCCTAAAAGAGAGGTTCTCAAAAATACAAATATCAAAACATGAAAACCATATATTATGTAAATGATTAATGCTGTGACACAGTAGAATCCTTCTCTCAAACCGCACACAAAAGCACACATATACATATGAGATTTACGATGTCTGTTTGTTATATGATAGTCAGTGACGCACGTGTGTAACACTCGCACATGCACAAAGAGTAGTGTGTGACTCACTGGTATGGTTGTTGTATCTCTCAATGTAGTAGAGATAATGCATGGCTCGGTTTTTTGCCTGTAAAACAAAGCAGCATGTTTAATGTCAAGATGATTTCATTGTAACCTGATCTGGTAGCTCTAACACAAACGTTAGAGGTTCAAATCTTGTAAGTGTGTGATGTGAACTGAGGAATTATTGAGCTCACAGCTCCGTTCTGTCATTATTGTGCCCTTGAGCGAGTCATTTAACCTCAGGTTTCTTCATGGGGGAATCGTGCCTGCAATTAGAGTCCAGTATGTGACTTTGTGTGCGTGTGAATGAGTGTGCATGTGACCGTGGCTTACTTTTCTAAGTGCGGTGTTCTTGTCTGCTGCTTTCCCCAGTGCAAACCCTGCAGAGAAGTGAATAAAACAGCTCATTAACACTGATTATAGCCATTGTATTTTTACCAGCCACATATTAAACTACTGCATTGTTCCATATACTCCAGACCACAGATGTGCAAAACTGCATACTTTCAAAATTAACAACTACTTGAGGCTAGTTTAATAAGGCACACCTGTTAACACATAAGGCTTTCTTCTATTTTGAGTTTAATAAATAAATAAATAAATACTTTTTATTATATGCATTGCTTTGTTATTTTCATATATTGCTAAAAAAAATGTATACAGGACCCAAATATAGATTAATACATTTAGCCATCAGACAATCATCATTAAAGGCGTATATGCATCTGTATTTACCTGCTGCTCCATTTCCATTACCCACAGCGACCAAAGCGCTGATGGACCTTTTCCTGCTCTCTTTGGCCGTGACGTTAAACACGCTCTTGACCTGTCAATCAAACAACAAACATCACATATAACTGCCAATATTTACAGGGAATTGATTTCTGTGTGTGTGTCTCCTTGAAGCAACCAACAGGAGGCAGTACAACCCTACTGGAAAAGGCTAATACACTCCATTGAAATGCTTCTCAAATACTGCAGTCATTGTCACAAATACACACTCACTCTCTCCCCTCAGGCTGCAGATGTGTGCGTAATTGCATAGTATAAAGTACTTGTACAGAATAAAAGCATTCTTGCTCCTGCTCCTTACTGCAATCTGTTATGTAATGTTTGCTGTAGGAGTATTATTGATATGATGAGATCTTTGTGCTGAAAGAAAAAGCCACCCACTGGCAAAAACTAAACATGTTCAGAGGAAGTTACAAGGTGGATTTCAGCCTGTTCAAAGAGCTCAAGCACAAGTTACATAGCTGATTAGGTCCTAAAACAGCAGTCAGCAACCTTTTGAAGAGTCATGTCTTGTTTCATTATAATATTTGTGTGCTGAGACATACTCGTCTCATTCTGCAGAAGGCCTCGCTTGCGGTAATGTCTCTTATTCTGACAGCAAAAAAGTACATCACTTACAAGTGCCACTGCACACCCCACTAGGCAGTTTTACGTGGTTTATCCACTCTACATGGTTCATTTTGATTGTTTGCCTTTCATACAGTTCATAACTAAATAAATATGGGTGTGTGAGGATAAGGATTACTGCAAGAGGAAGTTCCGCATTCAAATAAATAAATAAATAGCTAAATTAAAAATAAAAAAAATGTTCATGCCAACGGTGGCACACATGCATGAGATTGCCAAGGGTGGTCCTAAATCTTCAGTATCATTCAATTTCACCTTTTCAGGTGCACCTTTTCTGTTTATCAGTGATTCTTTTTAACCTCTTTGGTCATTTTTTGAAATCCTACTTCAAACAATTAAATGATAGAGTTCAGTGTCTCTTTAGAAGTACATAACTGAAAAATTACACTACAACTCAAAAGTTTACGGTCAGTATGTTTTCTTAATTTTTTTTTTAAAGAAGTCTCTAATGCTCACCAAGACTGTATTTATTGATCAAAAACACAGAAAATCGTAGTATTGTGAAAAAGCAATACAATTCAATATAACTGTATTTTATTTTAATACATTTTAAGATGTAATTTATTCCTGTGTTGGAAAAGATGAATTTTTAGCAGTCATTGTTGCAGCATTCAGTGCCACATTAGCCTTCAACAATCATTCTATACTGATTTGGTGCTCAAGAAACATTTCTTACTATTATTTATGTTAAACAGTTGTGCTGCTTAATATTCTTGTGAAAACTGAGATACTTTTTTTTCAAGATTCTTTGATGAATAGAAAGTTCCAATGAACAGCATTTATTTGAAATAACTATGTAAAAGCCTTTACTGTAAGTTTTGATGAATTTAATGCACTCTTGCTGAAAGTAGATTTTAATTTCTTTAAAAAATAAATAAATAATAGTGACCCAAAATGATGTGTACATTGTTAAGGATAACAAATTTTACCACTTAGTCACAAATGTTTACATATTGAGGTATCCACTGTATAAATTGGTTATTTCTAGAACCCAAGATAGTCCTTGGGTACTTGAATCCATATTTTATGTATATAAACATTGCTCAGTGAGAAAAAAAAAAGTCACCCACAACTCCATCTCTAGTGACCCCAGGTTGAGAGCCTCTGTTGTATGTGCATCCTCTCAAACACACATGGTTGACTGATCAATACGCTTACAGGAATCACTAGCGATTGTAGCATGTGACTCTCTCTCTAAGATCCACCGCAGTCGTTCCCTCGGTTTCTAAATCACTGAGGTCTAAGTAATGGGACACTGTGTGGTTCAACTGAAAGCACTAAACGAAAATGACGATGGGGATAAAAAGAAGAACAATGTTTACTTAAAAAGAGAGAGGGAGAGATGGGTGGGGGGACTCCCACCTGCATTCTGTCAGTGTGATGCTGAAACACATGCCATCTGTTCAAGACCGCTTGCACAAGCACACACACACACTTCAGTAAAAGCAAAAAATTTTCTTCTGAAGGAAAACCAAACACAAGTAGTTCCAAACAATGACAGAGGTTTGTATAGAACATGCACATCTGCTCATTAGCTGTACTTGGTCTGGGTCATGTCATTATGCAATCACTACAACCGTTGACTCAGCCCAAAATGATCATTTAAATTAAATGCAAAAATTCCACCTCTGTATGCTGCTCAGAGATAAAAAATGCATATGAGTGTGTTTATCTTTGCTGATTAGCCATTATTAATTGCATGTACCACAGTGTCACACCAAAGATATAATGTCAGACATATTAGCTAGCCAGAATTATTAAATCTTAAAATCCCCATAGAAATTACAGCAATTTTACTATATTGTTCCAAATATGGGTGTCACGGCACTCATTTTGTATCTCTTAATACCTACTGAAGAGAGGCTTACAACACATAATATGTAAACTACTTTGGTAAGAAACTGTATGTGCAATGGAAAAACAGAGATCTGATTTTAGGAAAATAAATATGTAAATGATGCATGTTGTAAGTCTGAGCATAAAGTGTAAATTATGTCTAGAAAGTACTTGACCACAGCATAAAATAACCACACAATTTAACTAACTACAGTGTGAAATATGCTACACAATATAACTACAGTATAATATACTGACAATTTAACCGTGACAAATGTAAAATATGAAGACATAAAGTAACCTTGACTAGTGTAATTTATCCCAACACAATGTAACTACAGTGTAAACAAAGTATACCAACAAATTTAACCTGGACTACGGTGTAAAATATTTACAAATGTAAACTTAACTACAGTGTAAAGTAGGGCTACACAAAATAAAACTGAACTCATCATATGGCTTAGTGCAATTATCGAACTGTGCTGCACTTTAATTTTACATAATTTCTGCATATTTCGGAGTCAAGCATGGCACTGTGTTCTTTTACAGCTCAAGATCCAGTGTTTTGTAACTATTACAGAATGACTATACTGTAAAGTGTGCCGACAATGTAGTCAAGTTCAAAATGGAGTCAATTTTATAGTGTAAAACATGCCTAAAGAATAGTGTGACAACAATATCAAAGTACTAAACTTGACTAGACAATGTAAAGTGTGACTATGTGAAATGGTGTGTAAAATACAGAAAAGGAGAATAAGATAATTCAACCATTACAAGACATGATAAACTGCAGATGGGAACCTAAAACTGTAAAAGTCTTCCTCTTGCTTTAATCTATCTCCATAACCATTACATCTTTTTATCACTCTCCTCTAACTATCAGCCATATCTCATGCCCTCCTCTGTCTGTCTCGCTCTCTCAGTCTTGCTCATGTATCATCCGCTCTAGAGCACTATGGCTCTCTTCCCTCTCTCTTGGCAGACGTTGCGTGTCCTTGGGAGAAGTTCTTGAGTTTACAAGAAATATTTGGCTTAATTAATGTGGCTTTATAAGTACTTGGGCTCTTTTAGCCTTTACTTGTGCTTTTTCTAGGACACCCAGGAGACAGTGGGAGGGAGGGAGGGAGGGAGGGAGGGAAAAGTGCGCCACTTTAAATGCAAGCCTGATAATGTCACCAAGCTTTTCAGAATCTCTTCAAATTAATCTGCATCCACAGAGACGGAGGTCCTGGAGAACCGCAAATACTCTTAATTTCTGTGTAAGCCCTCTTGTGTGTCTTTACTGGGTTATCTCATTAGCTCTGGTGTAATGTGAGGACAACATGCCACCATGTGCTTGATCACATGCGATATATAGTTGTCCAGACTCGGGACAGCTTATGTTCGGGACAGCCACCTCCCAATTGAAAGTACCCAATAAATTATCATTTTATATATATATTAAGCTTACTAATATTTTAAATATTATTGTGGGTTTCAATAGAGAATAGAAGGGTCTTAGTAAAAATCTAAGATTGAATACTTAAATGCTTTTTTAAATGTGTTTTTTGGTTGTGGGACAGCGGTTTGGACCAATTCTGTAGAATGGCCCATATTTGTATATAACCGAGTCTGCATTGAAACCCACTCTAAGTCTCCTTTAGTGTGTATGACGCACACAGTTCCTGAGCATTCCAAGTCATATATGAGGTTCATTTCAGTTAAGAGGCTGGTGTCTAAGACAACTACCTGTGTAGCCAGTAGGCAATGAAGCAGCTCACGAGGTTTTGGAGCAGAGCCAATGAGAGTGAAAAGAAAGCAAATCACTTCACCTAAATCATCAGCCTTCCATTTGATTCCTTGCAGCATTCAGTCAGAGAAGACAAAACTTTGGCTGTAAACCTGTCCACTTCTTTGCCAACAAAGCTTTATGGAAATGAAAGAATCAGAGGACGAAAGAAAGACAATATGGAAAACGCAGTAAAGTGAAAGAGAGACAAGGACCCGAGGTAAACTGCTGAACTGATTTCCATTCTAAACTCAGCAACATTTCTGCCAAATGAGTCTAGTGGTGCCAGCCAGGGGCTCTATACAGAGATTTGTTTATCAAACGTTCATTGTTGTGTATAATTAGATAATTCTCCAGATACTCCACACTACATGGTAATTTTGTACTGAGCAGATTTTGTGCCCCGACTGCCTCCCATTTAGGAGTTCAAGGGAGTGGTTCAGAAGCTCTGAGATACACACATGCAATCACACACACAAGGGTGATAGACACACTAAAAAACACACACAATTCTAATGGCTATCAATGGAGAAACAAGACAAAGCAGATCAAATTAACCCCTTGTCGCAGGTAGGGGAAAATAATATTAACCAATAATAAGATAATTCACTTTTAACAATCCAATCAAATCTTAATGAATAAAAAAAAATTCATATAGAATATGCACATTCAATCATAAATTCAACACATTATGGAATTTGTTTTTAATGCAATTTCATGTTAGTAGGACACATGGTTCTGCTCGTACTCACCTCTATCACACGTGAGTCAAAATCTTCATAAGTTTCTGAAAGGACAAAAAAGGACAAAGCAAAGTCACAACTGTTTATAAATGACAAAAAACACCAAAGGTCATTAGCACAGGTTGAGATTGCTGAAAAAGGCTCACACAGCCTATTTGTTTTTGATCAGGGACAGCAAGCGTGTTAAATGAGATTACGTGAGTGGTCTGTTATGACCTCTAACCCCAGGGCTGTGCTGTTGCCGCAGTAACTCATTACAGGTGTTTCATTTTGCCTGCGAGAGACAAGCATATTTCCTCGATTTAAAGGAGGAGGTGTTGCTGTGGTGACTCAGGGGTGAGAAGTTGTTGGAGCAGATCTAGACATGATTTAGACTCCAGGCCTCACCGTTGCTGGGCAATCCATCACCACAACTACCAGAGATTGCACCCACGTCCCTTTGGCCAATGAGACGACGGGAAATCTATTCCCACTGTAAGATGGTGAGCGGCAGAACAGAGATGAACAGCAGTGTAAATTACAAGGAGATTGCACTTTCTGCATCTCGTTTCGCTGTGTCTGAGCGTGTAGATGCAGGTGTTGTGCAATACATCCTATTATGATCAAAGACCATGTTTCATCAAACTGTTTGACTATTTCAGCTACATCCATTATAAATTAACTATACAGCCATGCATCTCCTTAACCAAGCATTTTCAGTAGAACGGGACAAATCAAAGAGCTGTCCCACACACACACCTCCGTTGGGCCCCGGATCCGGCGGACCCAGACTGATCCCACCCCAGGAGTAGCCAGTCCAGCCCCTCTCTCTCTTTATCTTAGTCTTCCTGCGTTTGTCCCATTCATCCCTCTGGCGTTCCAGGGCTGCTGTCACCTCCTTCTGCTCTGCCTCTCCCCGTTGTGAGGGTTTCTGGATGGACCCATCCTTATACACCGGAATATTCAGACCGGGCCACAGGTAGCCAGCACGACCTAAAGAGCACACAAGAAATCACAAAAGTGAGCGTTATACACATTATTATCGGTTTCTACCTTGTTTCAAGAAAAGCCTCCATGAGGGAGTGTGAGAGAAAAGAAAAATAAATCGATAGATTCCCCTGAGGTCTTTTTAAGTGAAAGTAAATAATGCCACTCAATAACTGTGGCGCTCTGTGAGTGATGTCAGCTTAGGAGAAGGTTAGATTCCAACGCCAGATATAAACCTCTAAACTTGAAGCTGAGCTGTGACTGATATTCATTAACTGGCATAGTGGGTGCAAACACCTCAAGAAATGCTACAGACTAAAATGGACATCTGTTTATAGCCGTTTTAATGTAGTGTTGGCCTTCAATCTGTCCAGAGACAACCAGAACTGATGAGTAATAAAAGTAATTCTTTTTAAGGCATCGTATGATTAAAAACAAACAAATGGCATTTTTATTAATGTCTTATTTACTATGCAAACATTCACTATATAAGCTCACTCAGTCCAATTTGTAACTTGTATGCTGAAAAACATCATAAAATGCTATATCACCATTTACATGCCCACACTTACATATCAAAACTTATACAGTATTCCTGAACTACTACTGGCAATTATCCAATCATAATAGAGATCATTTACATAGAAGTCTTAAGGTAGCAAAAAGTATAAAAAATAGCCAGTTTAATTAATTGGGTTAGAGAATGATATGGTGTTTTTGTTGTTGTTGTTTTGAATGAATGAAATTACTACTTTTATTCAGCAAATACCAAACTGATAAAAAGGCAGTAGACATTTATAATAATACAAAAATTGTCTATTTCAAATAAATGCTGTTCTTTTGAACTTTCAATTCATCAAAGAAACCTGAAAATAATGCATTACGGTTTCCACAAAAATATTAAGCAGCTGTTTTTAACTTTAATAATAATAAGAAATTATTCTTGAGCACCAAATGAGCATATTAGAATGATTTCTGAAGGGGTATGTGACACTAAAGAATGGAGTAATAGCTGCTGAAAAGTCACCTTTGTCATCACATGAATAAATTACATTTTAAAATATACTGAAACAGAAAACAGTTATTTTAAATTGCAGTAATATTTAACAAAATTACTGTTTTTACCGTATTTTTTCAATCAAATAAAAAAGCCTTGGTGAGAATAAAAGACTTCTTTCAAAAACATTTAAAAATAAGTTAAATCGACCAACCCCAAATTTCTGAATGTTGGTGTGAATTAAGTCGAATTATAATCAAATGTAAATTATGATTTTTTTTCTTCTTTAAAAGTTATTGTCCTTATTTAAATTATGTTTTGGTACAAGAAATATAAGTTTAAAACTAAGCCCCATAAAATGTTTTAGTGTGTTCTGTCAATGCTGTGAAGCAGGCAAAGATAAGAGGATATTATGGGTAGGATGTACCTTCTCCAAGGTTCTGGCCTCTGTTGAGATCTTTTTTCATTTTACGTTTGGTTCTCTTTCCTCTTCCCTTTCTGGCACCGGCACCGGACTCAGCTAAGACTCCCCGCCAAAGCTCATCAGCTGTCACTATGAGAATAAATGGATGTCAATAAATCACACACACATATAGTCACATCACTAATACAGTCTATTAGACTCATACACACTCAAATAAGGTGAAGAATGAATAATAAAGCCATGAGTAGTGTGTTAACCTGTGTATTTAGATAACGACTGCACAGTAAAAAGTAAATTCCAGCTGTTGGTATTACCATGCAATTATGAAGTTTCATCTGTATTCTGTGTGTGTGTGTGTTTAGAGGGGTTGGGTAATCTGGGAAGTTGGGAGTTGTTTGATATTGTTCTGATTTAATTAGGACTTAATTAAATGAGACAGAGAGGCCTGCCAGGCTTAATGAAGCATCCAATTCCAAAAAAAGCAGTTCAAGAAATTTCATAATTCTATCTGACAACCAAACATATCCAATGCACACTGACGCACACAAAACCTAAGCATTCAAACAAACACTCATGTCCGTACACGCAACCATGCCATCTGTAAGAGAGATGCTGAAGGCATATCCCTACACAGTTTTAAAAGTTAAAAAAATTGTTTTTGGATGTACAGATTTTTCCTTATAATAGTACTATTTTCTAAGTTTGCACTATTTTAATGAAGAGGCGTTCCCGTCTCAAGGAGCAGTTCCTTATGAAAGCAGACAAGCAAAAGAGATGGGGGAACAACAAAGGTTGTATATATCAGAGGAAAAAAAGGCTGTTAAGCAGAAGTTTTGTTAAATTCACTCAAATTAAGAGTCATATTTATAGTCAGATATCATGGTCCAGCAAAGATGGCTGGTGACTTTGCAAAACACTATCTGTGCTTTACTTCTACAATATTACTATTCAATAATAGTAATTACACACATCAGTTATATAAAATAATATATAAAATAATTATAAAAAAAGAATGCATTAATGTAAACCATGTATTTTAAAAAGCAAATTTGCTACCATTTGAGAAATTCAAGTTTGAAATAACACCTAAAAAAAATCAGCATTATTGTAGCATAATTTATATGCTATTATAATTTATATATTTATTTTGAATTAGCTTTTATGTTTGGCTTTTTAATTATCATTTTTAATTTAATGTAATTTTAAGTCATTTCGCTATGTAGCAGTTTTAATTTTTAATTTCCAGTTAATAAATTCAGTGCTTCAAGTTATTTAAGTTACATTTCAACATTTCACATTTGCATTTAGTTGATGTTTTTAATCTAATATTTATATTTTATTTTAGCTTTTTTAATTAACAAAAAAAATGTTTTATAGTATTAGTTTTAGTTAACAATAATAACCCTGAACTGCATGCCAATGATATGTTCCTGTTCAACGACATGGAAATAAAATAATACTATATTGATTGTTTTTGTATTGTTTATTGAATGCTTTACTCATCTTCCACAGTATCTGCAGTCATAGTCCCCTCTGGAGCGACCTGAGGTTAAGCACTATTTTCAAGAGTACAGTGGTGAAAAGAGATCTCATTATCCCTGTGCTCATGATATTGAGAGTCAAACCTGTGACCTATGGGCTGCCAACCCAGATCTCCAAGCAATAAGGCACCATCACTCCAGGATCTTGACTGACACTCACTAAAATCAAACAAAGCATATCACAGCTGCTTACGTTTGTTAAAGAAGCTTGAATGTCTGTTCTGCTGCAGGGCAGCAGTGACTGGAGCATACTGGGTGGGACTGGGCCTTGCCAAATTGGAGAGGTGAGCAGCGCCCCCTAGAGCTCTCAGAGCTCCAACACCTGTTGACGAGAGAGAGAGGACAGGACATTTCTTAAAAGCTAAACTAAAAGTTCTGATCTGTACCAATAATGCACAAAGCCAGATGCACAGAGGTTACTATCTATTCTAATGGCTCATAGTACATGAGACATGATATATGATATATTTGTACATGATACAAAATCATTCAACACCCAAAAGTCTAATTTTCAAGTTTATTTTTTATGATATCTAATAAACGTTGCCTCCAAGTGCTTAGAAGCTTATGTCACCTCTATACTGAAATCTTCACGCAACCCCTTCCAAATCGATGATTATCTTTGGTTTCCATATATTATATAATACATGCATATATATATATATATATATATATATATATTGTAGCGTTCTCAGACAAGGACGAGGCGTTTTGATGTACAAGGGGTGTTTTTTTGGGCTGTTGTCGGCCACAACCCACGCCGTACACACCCCGACTTCTAAGAGAACCACACTTGAACCAGCTAGGTACTCTTTTCTCCCCTCCTTCTCTCTGTTTCCCCTTACACACACACAGGGGCGGAGCCTCTTTTCACATCCAATAACAGTTCGCAACACAAAAATGAATAAAGTGCAACACTAACATTAAGCACATTGTTATCTATAACACAACAACATTTTGAACATGCTACATATATTATATTGTACATTAGACCACTACAAAAACAAATAAACAAACAAGGAGTACATGTAAAGGCTTTATCTGCTTCTCTGTTAAGGTCAAAGTCAGGTCAAAGTTCCTTGGATACATTATTCATTTATAGTACACTAAACATAAGCAAAAGCTACCAAAAATAAGCAAAAGCTATACTAAGCAGCTACTTGCAGCTCTTCACACAACATCATGTAAGGTCAGCATTCTCATACTTCAGATCAGGAATGACGAAGACATTTAAAACAATAAAAACAAGACATTGCGTTCAAATGATTAGAAAAAAACACATTAAAGGGGTCATATGATGCGATTTCAAGTTTTCCTTTCTCTTTGGAGTGTTACAAGCTGATTGATCACACATATTTAAAATTTCAGAGGTCAGTGTGACAGATGACCGAAAGCTATGGCAGAGATATCTAGGGTGGTATTTAGGGCAGACATTCTGTTATCTATATGAGAGATAAATAATTTTAGGGTCATGTATTTATTTTTTATGAGGCAAACACCGTGTTTCTTCTGTTCTTGACAGGGACCGTCAGCATGTTCACACTACCTTTATCTTCAAACCTCTTATAATCTACACATTATTTACACGTAGCTATCAACAAACTCAAAGACAACCGCCACCAGAGGTAAAAACAAACGTTAATTCAAAAAGAGTTATAAAAAAATCGCACCTTCAAATGACAACCGGAGTACACAACACAGCCTTGTGACCGCCGCCATGTTCGGATGCTGAGGGGGTCCTTGAACGCCGGGCGTGCTGTCCAAACCTGTGCCTGCGCAAAATTACTTGAGGAATCGTTGATTTTTCATAAACTACGATAAATAAAACTATTTTTGAAAGGGAATGGCTTTTTCAGATTTTATAGGGCACTTTCAAGATCGGATTCACATAAAGATTCACATAGATTGGAAATCTATTGTATAATTTATGCAGTGTATCTCATTTAAAAAAATTAATTTCACAATTTTTTTATAGCTTCATTATCTTCACATCGATTACACTTGGTAGCTTTATTAACACCGAGTCAGTAGGACAAACACAGTTTAGTAGTAGCCCATGCTATAAATACTAGCCTTGCTTTTAGACGACTATAAAGTAAGAGAGTGGTTTTGGAATTGGAATGAATATTTTTTGGGTGAACTATTTCTTTAAATCTATTTTTATGGCAATTTTATCATTTGCATATTATAAGCAGGCCTGCTTGGGTGTAATTTTGGATGTTTAAGGCCACGTATGCAATGCCTATAAAAAGAAAAACATGAAAATTGCATTGAAAAGCTGAGGACTATGATCTCCAGATCATAGCCCTCAGCATTTCAATGCAAGTTACAGCGCCCCGGAGCTCTCTTCGGGGCACACATTGATGTCTGTGCTGTCTTCTTGGGCATTACACCCATCAGCGCTCTGCCTGTGATACAGACGGGAGGAATGACACCTGCATGCTCAGTAGAGCCTAGCCTCATATCCTTTAATCAGCAGCTCCATTATCAGCTTTAGTCAGACTGTGCACTGTTCAGGCTGCTTCAGAATCACAGGGGAACGTGCCGGAAAGAGGTGACTAGAGAATCTGAATCAGTGCAAATGTGCTCGTAAAGAAGAGGAGAAGAAGAGAGTGGATAATATGGGAAATGACAGGGGTAAGAGGCTGTGTCACATTCTACTCCCTAGTTCCCTGTGGCATAAAGCAGTATACTATAAACATATATTTGATCGCTAGCAAGGGCCTTGATCTTTTAAAAATTGGGACATTTGTGATTCGGTAATACCTGTAGCATGATTATGAGGTTGCACATTAAAATGGCATTCAGAAATTTAAAAAATACAGATATATTACTAAAACAAGCTTTGAAAATGTATAAATATTTGTACTATGGTACAAAATTGACGAACATAAATTATCAAATAAATAGAAATATAATCTCTAATTCAGGGTTATTATAGTTAAATAAAACCATAAAAACTTTTTCATACTTGAAATAAAATAAATGTTAACTGAAAATTAAATAAAATATAGGCCTATATTTAAAAATTAAACTTATTTTATTTTAGTTGGCAAGGCAGCATTTTTCATTTAGTTAAACTTGATGGACTGAAGTATTAAAATAACTTAAAATAAACTAAAACTAATAACTAATAATTAATATTTAATAAAACAAAACTAATCAAAATGACACAACAAAATTACAAAAGTTTTAACTAAAATGTATTACATAAAATATGAAAAATAATAAAACAATTCAAAATATTAACAAACTATATCAATGATACTAAAATAACACTGCTCTAATCCTACTAGCAGGATTGTTCATGGAAATAGAGAACAAAATATATTTTCAAAAAAGGAAAGAAAAACAAAACAATATAGCCTGTGTGTGTGTGTGTGTGTTTGCACGCGCAATTGAAATGTCTGACTCCCTAGTTAGTGCACTTGCTACTGAACTACAGTAGGGAGCTGACTAACACATACTCAGAGAGAAAGAGAAGAGCAAGAGGGCAAGAAGAAGTACAGAGGGTGAAGAACCAAGATGACAGCCAGGAAAGGCATGAATGACAAAATAGAGGGGAAGGAGGAGAGAACCCATACATAACAATGAAGAGTTGCTTCAGTGGAAGTGACAGTTTGAACCAGGCTGTCAGAGAAAGGCAGCTGATGGGAAAAAGCAGTCGAAAGAAAGGTAGAGGACGAGAGTTTGCAGAGCTGTCGGGCTGATAAATGCTGTCTAAAATTTTAGAGTGGTGTTCCTGCATGCATCCAAACACAAGCTTTTCCAATTCCCTGTGTGACAGCCCAAGCCGTCGTCAGTGCAGCAGGAAACAGATTAAGGAGCCTCTACAAGGGCCCTGTCAGCATGCTGTAGATGTTTATTAATCATTATATCTGTAGACGCAGAATAATCTTGATAGATTAAATGGGAGGAAGGTGAGGTGATTGGTTTGGGTGGAGGCGAGTGGCCAATAATAAACCAAGCTATGGGTTTGATTGCTTTCATCTTTCCAATCCAACAGACTGCAAATCAGCACCCAAAACCTTTGTTTTATATAAGTGTTAAAATCCATTCAGAGTTTTGCTGCTACAATTCTTACATTTTATGTCAAATCAAAGCACTGGAATGTCTTATTTATGGCCAGTCTTCAGATGAGTTTAGGTCCTGGCTCTCACAATCTTCTAACTGTAAAACAAGCTTTTAGAAGCTTCAGCACATCTGAGGTTGGAGGTTAGGTAAACACAAGCAGTTTCTTCATTCTGGAATACATGGTTTCTACAAGAGAACTAGAAATGTACAATGTAGAAAAAATTATGTTTATGATAGAAGTCTAGTTCAAGCGTAAAGTTTTGTTGAAATGCAAATTATGAGATAAATTTGATAAATACATTTAATAATTATTGCAAAACATGTTTACATAGAGTTTTAAATTACACAGGCTTTTTAGAGTCTTCATAAATTCAGTCCAATATTTAGCCTCATGTTACAATACTAATCAAACCAAAAAAAAAGTGGTAACATTTAATTTTTTTAATACCTTGACAAATTTCTTAACATTGTTATATGTCATGAGCCTTAAGTTCAAGAAAACAGTCAATTTGATTCACTAAAAAGAGCTGGCAGTATAGTTCAGGATTTGGACTGCAATGCTTGTTCTGTGTGTTTTGGATTCAGTTAAAAGAACTTACTAATAAGAATCATTTGTTCAGCAATCAGACTAGACTGCTCATGCTGAAATGTTTTTGATTCAGTTAAAAAATAAAACTCATAAGAGTAATTTGTTTGGGAATCAAACTACACTGGATGGGCTGCATTTTTTCGATGCACTAAAAAGAACTGACTCAGATTCAAATTCCGTTCGTGCTGAACTATTTTTTTTTAACATTGGTGTCATCTGTCGGGAATCAGACTAGACAGATTGCACTGTATGTTCTTGATTTATAAAACACAACCGACTTATTGTCCTAAGACTTCTTTGTTGAGGAATTAGACTACAATGGCTACATTGTATGTTAGTGTAATAGTGGCCCATAAATGTCTTTTGTTCTGGATTTTTGACTCTTTTATTCACTGTATATTCACTGAACGCACATGCGAGGAAACCAGTCATCATTTGTTTTCTATTCTGATGTGATATAATTTGGAATAAGTATTATTTGGAATAAGTAGCCTACTGAAAATAATCATAAGAAATAAATGCCTGATTCTCGACTTGTTTAAAGTAACACTGATTGTTTTTAGTGTTTTCATTTACATCATAACCAAATGTGTCCTCAGGTAGTGGCTCTTGTGGTGAAGCTTCTCTGCAGGGATCTGGGTCTGCAATCACACACTCACCAGCGCCACTGAACGTAATTGGCGGCCTCTTGGCTACATAATCATCTGAGATGGAGGCCAAAAGAGTGTTCTCTCACCTGTGGGTCCTCTGAAATTATACTTTACCTGTGAGCATCAATCAGAGTCGGGGAGACAAACTACAGAACACACACAGATAGCGAGGATCAAGGGTGTGATTTGACAGATCTAGAAAGATTTAATTGAATTCGAGGCACATGGCAACACACACATTTCTCAATCTCACAAACTTCATAACATCCATAAATGGCCCTTTTTATCAGTCTAAACACACTGATGAGACACATGGTGGCATTTAATTAAAATTTGTTTTGTTAAACTGATTTGGAAATTACAGGACTGGTTCTTTTACTGCTTAATGCATTTCACCGATTGCATTTATGATAATTTGTGGCTTTTTCCTGTCAATTTAACCCAATTGTAAAAGAAATATAACTGTGAATTTCCAGGTTGGCCTTCAGAGCAGAGGAGATATTTCTAGGCTAAAGTATTGTAGGGTTTGAGAACGTCTTCTAGTGTGATATTGATGGGCCTTTTGCAGAGCTGCTCTCGTCAGCATAAATTCTACAAGGCTGCCATGGAAAAGAACATCCTTGAAAGAGCCAGGGCATCTCGGCGTAAATAAAAACCAACGTTTTTATTCTCAGTGAGTTTTTTGGCCTTTACAGCTTTTCAATCTCTTACACGCAGACACACATGCACACATACAGATGCTTGAGTGTGAGTACACCCATGAATTCATTATTTTATTCTGTGTAATACAAATGTGGCTTTCCACAAAGTGCATTTCAGATAGAAATTTGTTTTGAAAATATCAATATATGGAGCGGCTGTAATTGTGTGAATGTATGAGAAAGTGAGAGATGGATAAATGTTTGTCCTATGCTCAGTAGATAATAGACTGACTTATTTCCATAGCCACAGAGCAAAATAACCATAACAAACTCAATAGTCTATAAACATTTATAAACAATGTTCAGTTGCTTATATCAGTAATGGAAGAGAGGTGTTGTAAAAACAAAGCACAAACCATTTGTTTCCTCTATCAGTTTATAAGTAAGCTTTTATTGTTATATAGTTTTATTGTGTAGGCCAACACAAATATTTTTGAGTCACTGGATATTAAAGGAATAATTCACCAGAAAATAAATAATTTGCTGTAAATTTCCCCACCTTCAGGCCATCCAAGATGTAGATGAGTTTATTTCATCATTGGAACAGATTTGGAGAAATTTAGCATTACATCACTTGCTCATCAATGGATCCTCTGCAGTGAATGGGTGCCGTCAGAATTAGAGTTCAAACAGATGATAAAAGCATCACAGTACTCCACAAGTAATTCACATGACTTGCCTTGTGAAGTGAAAAGCTGAGTGTTTGTAAGAAACAAATCCATCAAGATGTTTTTCTTTCCTTCAAACCGTTTC